ATATATATACACATATATATACATATAGATATATTTCGAGCATCGGTTAATGTTGTAACTATCTATAGCCAATCTCAATTAGTGTATACAGACACGCTTCAGAAAAGAGAAAAGCTTTCATTCTGGGATGACCCACCTTAACTAGATTTTTGTGTTGAACTCTAGATAACATTGCAATTTCTCTGCCAAACCGAGCCTCTCTCCTAGAAATCTGTTCTGGGGTTTCACCCTTATTAATAATCTTAACAGCAACATTCTGATTTTTATATCTACAAAAATAAGAAAACGAAACAAGACGGCGCACAGTCATCCAATAATTCTCTATTACGATCCAATAGTTGATGTAAAATATGTATTTTTTTTTCTAAACAAATATATCATATAAAAAGTTAATGTGAAATTGTGCATAAATCTAGTGATATCCAAAACAGAACCAATTTTTTTTTTTACAAAAATAAACGTTGACTTACTTTCCTTCGTACACTTTGGCATGGGCACCTTCCCCAATTTTTGGCCCAACAAATAGTTGCTTTGGATCTATAAGCCACTTTGCATCCAGACTGAACTCCACCACTGAGTGAACCTCAGTGCCAGATCCCATTCTGCTTCCCCTAAAGATGTTGAACAAACAAGTATAGCAAGTAGCAGAATTACTCACAGTCAGCAAAAAGATCATGCCCTCTAAGCAAAAAGAATTACTCACAGCTCATACACTTGTGCTACAGCATATATTGACCTGTGGGTTGGACAAACCAAAAAGGCTCAACTGGGTACCCAAAAAACACCATGTTCCAAAAAAATTTCAGAAGCACTCACGAAAAAACCAATAAATCAGAATAAAAGGCCTTAGAAGCAATGAATAGAGTAAAAAGGAAACAACACCTTTTACACTCTTTGATTATGGAATGGAGTTAAAGGTTGAAAACCAAAGGTAGGTACGAAAACTAATAACCCAGATGGAGATTTGGGACAAGAAAGAGGTTGGAAACTAAGGTGGATGTTGTAGTAGGAGAGAAGAGAAGAAAGAAAGGATGATTACATTATTTTAATCTATAACGCGTGAGGCATTTGAGAGAGAGAGAAAGAGGGATTCTGGTGGTAAAGTGAAGCCGCGGAAGAAATGGTGTCTCTGTCAGAAAACAGTGTCGCAAGTGGTGGGTGATTGTTTTTCTTTGGAATAAATTGTGCATAGAGATGGAGTTGAAAGAAATCTATATCCTATTAGGGGTATTTATATACTAATAATAATAACAGACACAAGACAAAAAGATAGTATTAATTAAATAAATCCATTAGAGTTACGTGGTATTTAAATAATTAATTTATTAATGGATGAAGTGAGTTACTGCTGATTATGGAGTGGATAGTGTGGTCAATGCAATTATTTTGTCAAAATGGGCCTTTTAGTTCCAACAGGATTTACAAATGGTGAAGCTATAGTCATAACTAGTTGGGTGTTCCTCCCTCCACCTCCACAGCCTTCTCCCTCCATCTCCCCTTTACTATTTTGCTTCTTCTTCCACCTCTCCTTTACTATTTTGCCCCTCAGTAAAATTTTATTTTTAAAATTATTGTTTTTTAATTTTACTCATTTATAACATATTTCACTGATAACCTACGTAGTTCCTTGTATGAGTAAAATATTTTTCTGCAAAGCTTGGTGATCGTGAAAAGAATTATCAAGCAATCTTACTCTTGTTCTCGGTGCAGTACGTGGTGCAGTGCGTTTGTGGTGTAGTGTGCTTGTCGTGGTTCCTCTCCAGGTACGTAGTCATAATCCTTCCAATAATCCTAAACCCTAAACCCTAAACCCTTCCCATAATGCTTCCAATAATCCTTTTAATAATCTTCCAATAATCCTTCGCATGAGCCCCCAAAACGTAGGAAAATGAAAACGAAACGTAAAAGGAAAACTAAGCCTGAACGGATGACATCCTTCAACGGATGTCAACATCTGTTTAAGGCGAAACGGATCCGTTTCGCCTTAAACGGATGTTGACATCCGTTGAAGGATGTCATCCGTTCAGGCTTAGTTTTCATTTTACGTTTCTGTTATTATTTTATTTAGGGTTTATTTTATTTACAGTAGTTTATATTTAAATTTTTAATTTTAAATGTTATATATAGTTAGTTTTTAAACGTAATAATTTTGTAAAATATATATTTGTTATAGATGATTTTTGTATCTTTAATAATTTTATAATTATATAAAAAATTATTTATTACTCTATTTATATCAAATATATAATTTAATTATATTAATATTTTTATATTTGTTTGATTAATTATTAATTATGTTAATAAGGGTCATTATAATTTTGTAGGTGATTATTATTTAAAATGGATGAATATCTTCATATGGATTCTCAGATTGGTTGTAGTTTGAAATCTGATTTGTCTTCATCAATTAGCAAAGTTGTAGAGAGAGATTTAACAAATATATTTACAACAAATGAAATATTTCATTCACGGGAGCACTTAATTCAATGGGTAAGAGGGATGGCTTTTGATTTAGGATTTGTTGTGGTAATAGTAAGATCTGACATAGCTACTGGTGTACGGGGAAGAAAAACGTATGTCATACTTGGATGTGAAAGAGGGGGAAAATATAGGAAATACAAAGCTGATGCAGTGGCTAGTGTATACGGCACTCGAGAATTAAAAGATGCACCACGTGTTCTTGCCATTTCTAACAATAATTTGTTTATTTAATTTCAAAAATTAAAAAAATTATTGTTTCAAATATCATTAATAAACTATAAAAAATGCAATTCAAAATAAATTAAACTAATAATAATTAATTTATTAACTTACAACAAAAATTAAATAAAAGAAACAATTAGCTAATTAATTAAAAAATATATTTAAATACATTTCCACTTAATTATTATTAAATTAATTATTATTACAAATACAAATTTACTATAAATAAAATAAATACAAATACAAATTTACTAATATTAAATAAATTAAATTGATAATATTTATTTTAAGAAATAAAAATAATTTAAATATATAAAAGTTTTCGTATCTAATTCTTAATCAATTTATTTACAAACTACAAATAAAAAAATTTATAAAATATTCAAATAATAATCTAAGTCAAAGAAAATTTAAAAACATTTAACAATAAATATATCAAATATATAAATATATATTTCAGTTATAATAATTTAAAAACAATTAAAATATTAAAAAAATTGCAGCAGAGCCGAAACGGATGTGGGATATCCGATTGGCCTTCAACGGATATCCCACATCCGTCGATGGAAGTCGGACATCCGTCGAAGGTAAACGGATGTCTCACATCCGTTTTGGCCTTTCGTGCATAGTGAAACCGAGAAACAGAAAAGGACGGTGAAAGGAGAACCAACCTGAACGTGGACGCCGCAGATCTCGCTCCTCCACGCTAGATGAACGGCTTCCTCCGCACCAGTGCTGCTCCACACCAAACGGTCTTCTAAAAAAATGAAAAACAAAGAAATGGAGAAAGAAAATGGAGAGGTTGCACGGAAGTGAGAAGTGAGAGAGAGGTTGCATACGGAAGTGAGAAGTCAGAGAGAGGTTGCAGACGGAAGTGAGAATTCAGAGATGGAAATGAAAGGTTGGTAGGTGTAGGCAGTAAATAGAAAAAGTAAATTTAAATAAATTAAAATATTAAAATAATAAAAGTAAAAAATTTTAACTTTAGGACATAATTGGAATTATAGAAAATTGGGGAGGTGGAGGGAGAAGACTGTGGAGGTGGAGGGAGCAACACCCTAACTAGTTAGGTAAATTCGGAGTTAACAACTCATTATTGGAATGTGTTAATTGCACCGCCTTAATTTCTAGTTGATTTTATCCAATCCTAACTATTCTACTACCATTTTTTTTCTTATAAGAATTGTCCATCAAAGAAAAATATAGTTATTTAAGAAAAAATCTCAGGTTTACTAGCTTAGCAAACCCGAATTGATGAAAGCTTTTGTCACGGTGGTCAAATTGGAAGGCTAAGACAAGATTTATCCTAAACCATTTTTTTTTCTAAAATGTATTTACTTAATTTAATTTAATATTTCATTTTTATTTTTATTTCATCCTCTTTCACTTGTTGACGTGTAAGAGGAATCAAAATTGTTTTACTTCTTTTGTGGAGAAAAGTTATTTTACTGGTGTAGCCATCATGAGTGGAGTTATGGTCATATTGTCATACCCTACTTAGTAAAACATGTCCAACATCCATTGGCACAACATCACACAAAATTGTTTCTTTATAGTTTTCAATGAAAATAGGTATGTTTACTTCTTTGACTACTATTTCTTGATCCTCTTTTATACACTGAAGCTTGTAAAGTTTAGGATGAGAAATAGTAGTTAAGGCTAACTTTTTCACCATTCTAGAACTACAATAATTGCAAGAGGATCCATTATCTACAATTAATGAACAAGTGTTTTAAAAAACTTTGCATCTTGTGCGAAATAGATTCTCTCTTTTGAGATTCTTCTAGTTCTTTATGTTGACTTCCAAGAAGTCTTCTAACCAATAATAACTCTCATTCACAAGATAAGACTTCTTCCTCAGATATGGAAGTATTTGAATCACTAGAATAACCTTCATCTCCATCTTGATGCTCTAGGATATAAGTAAACCTTTTGTTAAGACACTTAAAAGCATAGTGTCCTTTGTAACCACATCTAAAACATTTGGTCTCCCTATTCCTATTTTCTTTTGAAGGTTCTCTCACTTGAAGCTTTTCTTTTTCTTTTTCTCTTTCTCTCTCCCTAGACCCCTCAAATCATGACTTTGATATACTATCCTCCCTCTTATACTCTTTCCTCTGGGTGGAGCTGGTAGGGTAGTCTTTTCTAGTGGAACTTTTTCTTTTGAGTTGTTGCTCCACTCTCACACAAAGTTGGACTAACTCATTGAGATCCTTGTAAGGTATAAGTTATACCTTATCTCTTATGTCATAGTTAAGTCCACTTTGGAACCTAACAATTGTTATCCTTAGCTCCTCTTTTATACCAGCTCTCAACATGAGTAATTCTATTTTTTGCCTATACTCCTCAACACTTATGTTTCTTTGTTGTAGTTTATGGAGCTTGTCCATTAATTCCCTATCATAGTATGTTGGCACATGCCTTCTTCTCAAGGCAAGCATCAACTCATTCCAACATCTAATGGGAGGTAGGTTCCTTAATCTAAGGTCTTTTACCAAGGTTGTCCACCAATATAAGGCATAGCTTTGAAAACTCAAAGAGGCCATAAACACTCTTCTCTCATCATCTATTTGGTGGCCCTTAAACAATTGCTCTATTTTCATCTCCCATTCTAAATATTCTTCAATATCATCTTTACCATGGAAGGAAGGAAGATTAATCTTTAGTTCCCTTGGGTGATGTTCTCTAGACCTATGATTTCTCCTAGGGGGTGATTGATAGTGATCATCATTGTGATGACTACTATAAAGCTCAAGCTCATTAGGTGGAGATTGTAACACCCAAATAATTTAAAGGGTATTACTAGTAGTAAAGACTAAATTAATTTGATATCTGATATAAACAATCAAACTTTATTTCAATTCCTCCAAAGTACAATTCCAAACTTACAAACTTTAAACAATATAGTCTTCACTACTTAACATAAATTCGAAATTAAACTTATAAGTCTTACACAACATTTTTTTTTTCAATGCAAATTATTCTTTTTACAAAAATCCCTGAAAGTTTTTCCCCGCATCTCTCTCATCATCTCTAAGTTTTTTCAACCGCATCTGCAACATTATCTACTCACATATAACATGAGTTATATGATCATAGCACAAACAAATAAGGGTAAGCCAATCATATCATACAATCATTAAACTTACTTATAATATAAATGTTTCAATCATGTATTTCTGCAATTTATAAATACCATTATCCCGATGTCATTAATTCATTTTTTTTAACTTCTTCAAAATCATCTTTCTCATTTTCATAAACCTTACAAGTATACCATGCTTACTCACGAAGCCTTATGGTCAGACCGCTCTCTGCCTGTTTCCTTAAGTCTTACCTGTATACTATGTCTTACTTTCTGAAGCCTTATGGTCAGACATCTCTCTGCCTGCTTCTATAAAACTTAGGAATCATATGTTTATGTCAAAGCCTTATGGTCAGACCACTTTCTGCTTGCTTTCATAAACCTCAGATGTTACTTTGCTCATATCAAGCTCTCATGGTATAAACCGAACATACTACTCCCAATAGTAGTAAACATCATTTCATAAGTAATGATTTCTTATATCCACTCCAACATTTCATAAAATCAACAAATCATACCCTCTTATCCACCTAACTCAATCGTGTTCATTCTTTAATCATAAATTGACAATAACCCGTTTTGGTGTCAATACCCAAAATAAAGTAAACATATTGCCAGATATCATACTTCATATTATAAACTCATTTTTTCAATAACGAGTATAACTCAACATATTTTCACCAATCAAAGGTCATAGATCAGCCAAAATACATCAACATATCTTAGGAACTACATATTAAAGTTTGGGCTCAATGTAACGGTAAATGAAATATATATGAAGTTTTTACCATGATAACTTAAGAACAAAAATATAGTGTTCATCATACTTTTCAAAATTTCAAAATTTATTTCTCAACACATAGACTTCTAATTACAAATCCGAACGGTCAAATTATAGTAATATATCTTAGGAATCATATATCAAATTTTCAGGTTGATCCAACGGTCAAATAGAATAGAATCTATATTTTACCGAGAGTACTAAGTAACACAATAACAGGGGTAATTAATTTACTCAAACATGCATAACTTATTTCTCCAAGTACAGACTCTTAATTAATGATCCGAACGGTCAAAGTGAAGAAATAGGTCTTAGGATTCATATATTAAAATTTTAGCTAAATCCAACGGTAAAAACAATTAAAAGGAATGTTTTACCACAGTAACTCGAAAATAAGAAAAATTATAATCATGAAAACTAAATTTACACAAGTGAATAGATAACTACCATTACCAAAATTTTAACATGTTCATAACTCATATTCATGATCATAATATGTATAAATATCATATGTAAGAAAGGATTAGCTCCCCTACCATCAAAATAATCTTAATATAAAAATTCAGGGGAAACAAGAAGTTGAATCTGGCAGAGCCGGTTAGACAACTTC